TATTATACGTAAATTTTTTGTTTAATTGATTTGATTTATATTTTAATGACTTATTTGACTTTATTAAATTACAGATAATCTGAAATATTAGATTTGATAGATATTTTGTTAGATACGACAGACAGCGTTATTATCATTTTATGAATATATATTAACGAGATACTTCAATTTGCTTCGCATCTTTTATATTAAATTCATACGTCACAATTTTATTTTTATTTTTATACTGAGGAAGATCCAATCGAAAGGATGAAATGTCAATTTTTCTCAAGAATAAAGTATATGATTTCACACAAACCTAATCTGTATTGACTCGTAATGGTTGAGTTACATCTATCCTTGCGTTTATAATATATTTTGAAATTGTTCTTTTTATATTTAATAAATTTATATGTTGTTTCGCACGAGACCTTGCGTAGTGATGTATGCTTTTTGTAATATTATTTTGTGAAATATTGGATCAGAATACAAATTTATAGTGCTACAAATTTCGAAATTTAAATAACTATAACTTCATTATAAACGAATAAAATTTAATTTAAAAAAAGATGTTCAATAAAGGCCTTAAAACCTCTACAAAAGGCCATGTCTTTGAGTTTTTGTGAGTTTGGTAATATTTACATATAGAAACTATGAGTTAGATAAATGGGGAAATTTTTTTCTCATTTTGTGGGTCTCTGTCATATGATAAAAATTTACAAAAATTTTTAACTTTCTATTGTAAAAATTTTAAATTTTCTCTACAAAATCGTTTTTTTTTTTTAAATTGTTCCTAAAATATATTTTATTACTGAGTTATCACAGCGAGTTACCACTTAAATAAAAGAAGCATTTTGACTTTGATTGCTCATAACTCTCTTAAAAATCACCGCAATTCAAAAAAAGATGTTTAAAGTTGAGACTCTGTTGAATGGTAGAATTGTTTTTGTTACATTTTTTTTTAATATAAACATAAAAATTAGCGCGCGCATGCAGACTACGAATTTTTGTTTTGACATAATATGAATATCTACGAAATATAATATTATGTACATGAATACTAATTGATCGTCACCTTAAGGAGGAATATCATTCCTGAAATCCTAAAATTTTGAGAATTTTTAATGGATAAATAAATAACTTTATTTGAAATCTGCTTTTTAGAAGGCTTTATTGTACATATGTAAAAAAAATTAAAAATTAAATATTAAAAAATATTTTTATTTTTCTTATATTTAAAATGGCGGCACACTGGCAGAATCCTTTCTTCCGCAGTTTCAAATCGGTGTATAGGATCAAGAATATGGGGTTCAATCTTGAATGAAACACAAATAATTTCATTAACTATCTATCAAAGACTAGAGAAGTACGTATTTTTCAAAATATTAATATCTCTCAAAAGACTCGCGTTGAAAAAATGCAAATGTTTCATAAAATAGCTGCCATTTTGAAAATCAATATTTAAAAAAATCCCTGTACTTCTCTAGTTTTTGATATGTACCTAATGAAAATTTTTTATATTTTGTTCAAGATATCATTAAATCGTATGTCCGTGATTCCGCAAATGCGCACATAAGAAAAATAAAAAAAATATTTTTTTAGTTACATATGTACAATAAAGCAAATTTTAAATAAAGTTATTTATTAGTGAGCGAAATGCAAGCATTAGAAGATTAAGATAATTAGATTAACTTCATATTTATGTGACTCTTTTTAATTATTTTTAATTTTATAATACTAAAGATGACCTAATTAGAAGATTTATTAAGAAATGTTTATTAATATAGAAAACGAAGTATAAATTTGTTTACGTACAGAGAATTCAGCATTGGTTTTTATACTCTTGAGTTATTTCATTAAAGTATTATTTCCACAACAAAATTTTAGGGCTTATTCACAGCAGGGCTGCTACATTCTGTAATTCTTAACGCAAGTTTCGTTACCGTTATATCGTCTTTGCGCGACTGTTTTATCATGGTAAAAAAGTTGCTGCGCAACGATGTTACAATGATAACAAAACTCGCATTAAAAGTTAAGTACAGAATAGCCCTGCAGAAGTAGCATTCCCTTTTAAAATTAGATTTAATCTTGGTTAATTTTAACTTACTGTTTATCTCGTTTTCTAAGTATTATAATCATAATAATAATATATGACATATTTATTTCTAATTTTCTTATATAAGAAAAAAAAATAAAAGATAAATTAAAAATCAAGATAAAGTTAATTTTACATTGATGGAACTGGACCTAAGTGATGCTATGTCGATTTAAATTCTTGTAAATGGAAAATTGTATTTAAATTCAGAGACTTTCACACTCTCGAAATTGTAATACATGCAAATCTAAAACATAAAGATTTTAGCCTCATTACTTTTTTTCTGCTATTCTTCTGGATCACCAAAATATCCTGTTTTCTGTTTTTTTTTAAGCGTTTCTGTTAATGTAAAATATAAGTTTTAATCGCGGTTTCTGTGGCTGAACCACTGCCAGATAATAATAAATTATTTTCATCAACCAGCAGTGTTGTATCAAGGCTGAATAGACCATGTCCAGGGCAGTAACTTTAGAAAAAATTTTTTTTAGTTAAATATTGAAATAATGTTTATAGATAAATTAAAGTTGCAAGATAAACAAGGCAATTTACAGTGAAATATCATTTATTCTTATGTCTTCTTTCAATTTGTTGTACTTTTAGTATTTCGAATAAATAAAAAATTTCTTTAAATAAGATCTTGAGAAAATCTTAAGATTTTAAATTGATATAATTCCTAAAAAAGAATTTATCTAAAACTTGCGGCACGATGCTTGCTTTCCTGCTGGATTGCTAGTTGGATTAGAATCTTGCCACTGTATTGGCTGCTGTCAGTGCCAGTATTGCAGCTAATACGATGACAAGATTCTTATCCCGCTAGCAATCCAGCAAGAAAACAAGTATCGTGTCGCAGGCTTAAGTGACACATTTTATAAGAGAACTCTTGAAATATTTCAGCTTGTGAATGCAAAAGTTAATATGACTCTATCAACCGGCATGTTCTGTTTCTAATTTGATAACAGCTATCACTTATTTTTTAATTAAATCCCTAGAGTTTTATTACGACACGTTTAGCAAGATGTCTCACGAGAGTTTAGCAATCCTAATTATTCGATGACTATTGATCCTACATACTATTATACTACGGTGTATTTTGCAACCTTGATCTGTGAGATGACCGCGATGCTACCTGAATGAGTCAATGAAAAAATTAATGATACAAGAGTACTCGTAATGTGATAATTCAAATTTCAATCTTCGTTCTTTCCATCGCCATGTTTCATTTCATTGAAAAATTGAAACAATAGTGCTTGTTGCTTGTACGAACTGGATAACACATGTCAGCGAATGCGCATTTAAACGCGTTTCCTGAGGTATCTTTATCTGCTGCTTATGTATTTTTTCTTCTAAACAAACGAAAGAATACGAAACAAACATCGCACTTGTACTGTTCTTCTACGAAGTCTCTGCAATTTTGTCGCTACATACGTAAAAAGTTCATCCTGTTCATAAATATGTTCAATGGTGGAAACGCAGATGACATTACTCGGATTATTATAGATTATCATTAGATAATTATAGATTATTTTAAGATACGTCAAAATTTTTTAACAATTTATCTTCCTCGATTATCGTTTATTTTTAATTCTCTATCATCACGCTTTATCATCGTAGTTCCAGCTCAACGCTTGGTTTATTTATAAATACAGTATTGCATGATTCTTTTAAACGGATTTTACGTATTCAATCGATGGATAAGATCCCGAAGTATCGAGATATATTTTACGCTTGCATCGGTATCACTGCAGTTTTAAAGTGATATTTATTTGTGTGTGTGTTCGTGCGTGCGCGTGCGTGCATGTGTGTGTGTGTGTGTGTGTGTGTGTGTGTGTGTGTGTGTGTGTGTGTGTGTGTGTGTATTTATTTAATATCACAATTCATTGATTGCTATTGCATCGACTTTTCTCGTTCGTTTTTTTTGACGTTATTATTGCTTGGTTTTTCTGAATTTTAAATTTTTATTCAATTTTTAATACATCTTTCAAAACTGGCGAATGTTAACGGCAAATTCTATGATCAATTTAATAATTTCTTTTCAGCAAAAATGTATATGTGCACTTATAAATTACAAATTACAATTTAAGTAAAATATTTGGAACATGATTTTGTTATGTACAATTTTGTTTCTCTGAAAGTTACACCTCCTGTGAAGTTGGCACGTCATTTTTCAAAAAATGAAATTTTGGTCGAAGTTCCAAATGCATCTCGAAGAGTTCTGGAGTTCCTGCCCAAAAATAAAAATAGTTCCGGCGAATTAATATAAAAAAAATTAAAAAATTTGGGGTGCTAACTTCACAAAACGAAGAACGAAAAATCGCGATGTCTTTTAAACCTAAAGCTTTAAATGATAATAACTTTCGATAGAACTCGCGGGTTGCTACCCAGAACTGTCGACAGAATTGCCAGAACTTTAAAAAAATTTTCACCCCTCGGGTGTTAGAAATTTTCGATTCGACGAACGAAAAATCGCGATATTTCTTAAACTATTGGTCCTAGCGCTTTGAGCGTTAATAACTTTCATCAGAACTTGCGGAGTTCTATCCAGAACTGTCGACAGAATTGCCAGAACTTTAAAAAAATTTTCACCCCTCGGATGTTAGAAATTTTTGATTCGACGAACGAAAAATCGCGATATTTCTTAAACCGTTGGTCCTAGCGCTTCGAGCGTTAATAACTTTCGTTAAAACTCGCGGAGTGCTAGAAGTGTCATCAGAACATTTGCGAAAAATTCCAGTAATAAGTATTAATATTAACTTTTACTATACTTTTACAAAACGGTCTTTCCGCACTGCGAAACGCTATACTGGACACTAATTATGATAAAGTCTCAACATGCAAGAAGTGCCATGAAAATGTTCTCGAAAAATTTATCTTTCAATCGCATTTACTCATAGATTGCAGTGTCTTTACGGATGGACAATATGCTGCTTCCATTGGTATCGAGAAAAAGAATGCGGCATTTGGATCTATATCCAAAAAATTGAACATGAATGATAACAATTACATTCTAATTGGTGTAGTATCATCAATATGCCAGCGACAAAAATAACGGGCACTATACAGCATTTGTATATGACACTCAATGATATTTATATGATGATATGATGACTAAGCATCAGAAAACAACATGATGAAGAAGTAGCACCACATTTAATATATACCATGGTAGGTACACAGAATTGAAACTATATACAAAGACGATTAAAAACATTTTTAACAAATTCAATAGTTATCAATCAATGGATTTCAATCACATTCCACCAAAATCACAATTCATCAGATTCATTCGATGTCAGACAAACACGCGCGCGCGCGCGCACACACACGTACACACATACAAGCACACGCGCGCGCGTGCACACAGACACACACACAAAAGTTATTACCGCTCAAAGCGCTAGGACCAATGGTTTAAGAAATATCGCAATTTTTCGTTCGTCGAATCGAAAATTTCTAACACTCGAGGGGTGAAAATTTTTTTAAAGTTCTGGCAATTCTGTCGACAGTTCTGGGTACCACCCCGCGAGTTCTAACGAAAGTTATTATCATTTAAGGCGCTAAGTTTAATGGTTTAGAAGATATCGCGATTTTTCGTTCTTCATTTTATGAAGTTAGCACCCCAAATTAAAAAATTTTTTTTTTTTTATATTAATTCGCCGGAACTATTCTTAATTTTGGGCAGGAACTCCAGAACTCTTCGAGATGCATTCGGAACTTTGACCAAAATTTCATTTTTTGAAAAATGAGGTGCCAACTTCACAGAGGTGAAAGTTACTAGTTTGTGAAAAACTTTTTTCAGTTTTATTAACTCGGAAATTTTATATCACAGTATACGAAAAAATTTAGAATCAGAATTAAAATTACGAATTTTATATATTAATTTTCTTTCAGTATTAAGCAACAATTTATGTAAAAATGTTTTATCTTAACGATGTACACATATATAAATATACATTACACAAAATGCGACGGATACACATTTTTGCAAATATATCTTGAATTATCGTTTAAATCACGCATATTCGAAAAATTTTGATTGACTAATATATATTTCTTAAAATATCACATTTTGTATCACATATAAGATATAAAAAATTTATTGTTTTTCTATATAAAAAGAGTAAAAAATTTACTTTAAAGTTTTAATCAAAGAGGGACAGTGTTGTTACATAATATTGTTACATAATCCGAATAATAATTGATAATTCTCGATATGAAAGTTCGTATAAAAATAAAAAGTAAAATTGTGAAAATACTGAATTTCAAACATTAAGAAAAAAGTGATTGAGAGATTTTATAAAAAACAATTACAATTAAATCGTTTCGAATTACCATTAGTTTTCGTTGCTTTTCTCCTTATTTATGTATTCTATTATGCAAAAGGAATTTCGTTGAAGAAATAATAATATTGCCCTTAAAATATATGTATACAATATAAT